ATATAATGACCGAAATCCAAACCAAAAATCACATCAGAAATTTATGAACATTATCCAATCAGTTATAATTATAAACAAAAATTCGTTAATCACTATTCATATATTAATTAGGAAAACAATAAAGACATATAGTAAAAATATAGTTATATCATATAACCCAGTGCAATTATTATGCTATTAACTGGAATCTATTAAAAAATATTGCAATCCAAAGCTGTGCAGTAGCTATTTTAGATTATTTAATATTGTTTCTTTGTCTTGCTAATTTTTAGGGTCATAACAAAGAACAAATATAGGTTGTACCTAAATTTCTAATCATGGAAAGCATAACCAAGTTCATTCCAGTAGCCATAATGTATTTTAAGGTGAATTTCTGACCTGTCGTCATAAAGTATAACGAACGGCTTTGAAGCACTCACTACCACTTCTGCACGACAGCCTTRACGTTTCCCTTTGAAACTTTTCAAGATATGAAAAATCGCGAACCAGGCGATTTTTATTCGTAAATTTAATAGCTTTCCCTTCAGTTGCAATTCCAAACATTGAGGGAGAAGCCAACACAGCTTCAGTTATTGAAATAAAAATCTCCTTTGGCAATCCTCGTTTTAATTCAATAAACCAGGGATTGCAAGCCCTTGGCGATGGTATCATTCGACGTCTCAACAGCTTAAGCCATACTGATACTTCTTCAGTAATCATTGGTCCTACTTTAATGGACTTCCTAAGGACTTGCTCCCTCGGCGATAGTCTACTAGCGATTTCATGTCGACTATAAACATACTGAAGAAAAGCACTCGCTTCCTCTCGAAAAGCACGCTGAAAGCCGCTTAAATTCATCCACAGATCTTTCCACAACTTCTGAAAGGGTCGGTGGGTCTTCGATTTCTCCATTATTATCACTTTCGTCTAGAACTTGCTGAAGAACTTCATCCACACTAATTCTAGACCTCTTAGCCGCCATATTGAAATTTTATGGATTTTGTCACAACACCGCTGTACGCTAACTCCGTATCGCGGTCGCTAAATGTCGCAAAACCCGAGACAGCTGACCCGGCGTGTGGTCAATTGAAGTTTCGCGTTTGCCGTAAACGAGAAACTTAACCTCTCTATTATTTCAATTTCATATAATTAAACCCCGCTATGCAATTTGTGATGCACATTTGACATTTATGTAGTTTTTTCTTTCTTTATTGCTGTAATGAGTCGCCTCATAATATTCGAATATTTAACCACATAGCTGATGAATTAAAGCACGAGCATAATGGTTCATGTCCTTGGAGCGCTATTCGACTCAACCTGATCAAGAATAAAGGGCAAAAACTGACATTTAAAAATGTTATTAATGAGGTGTCAATCCTTTTGAATATTTTGCTTTTCGATTACATAAACTCATTATCACAACACTGGAGTGTTGGCTTATTTGGCAGAAGTCAATGACGTTTTCAACTTCCACCTGGTGAAGTATGTTTTTTTTAAGCTGGTGTGGGAAAAACAGTGCTCGACACCCATTTTCCCCCACATAACAACCCTCTGGGCTTAATTCAAAACCATGAGAAACAATAAGTTGGAGGTCTGCGTAGGAGCAAAGACAGGCCAAATATAAAACTGAAAATTGCGGGTTCCTTGAGATGTCCACGTGTTTCAACTCTACGAAGTATTGTATGGCTTGAAATATAACTACATCATCTAGATTGGTACACACTGATATGTCCAGGTACTGAATACAGGTGGCATTCTTAGAGAACACTGCACCGACTGTAACAGGAATGCGCCCTCACAGGCTGCTACGACCCCAATCACCTATCCACCACTGTCGACTCCCTTCGAAGCTGTTTTTGCCGCCTTCTTCGATCACGGTGGCCACCATTACCTTGTAGCAGGAGACCGTCTCTCAGTCTGGGTAGAGGTATTTGGTTCCCAAGCAGGCACTAACCTCGCAGGTGCAGCAGGACTGATCCGCCACCTCCGATGATTCTTTGCCATCTTTGGTGTACCAGAGGAAATCTCCAGCGATGGAGGTCCTGAGTTTACAACTGGCTGCACAGAGGCCTTCCTCCGCCTCTGTGGTGTCCGACATCGTGTCTCGTCTGCCTACTTCCCCCAGTCGAACGGCAGAGCAGAAGTTGCCAGCACAGATCATCTTCGGCTGCCCCATCCGAGATACACTCTCTTTTGTCAACAAGCTGGAGAAGTTCACAAACCCAAATGTTCGTCCACTGTGGCGCCAAGCGTGGGAAGCTAAGGAAGAGGCCCGCAATACTGAGTCCTTGAAAGAACACTCACAACCTCTACGACCACTCACTATCGGTGAGAGAGTGTTTCTTCAAAACCAACATGGACCCAGCCCCAAAAAGTGGGACAGAACGGGAACCGTAGTGGAGACAACAGGGAACAACCAGTATCGGGTAAAGGTAGACGGATCGGGACGTCTCACCCTATGTAACCGCCGGTTCCTTCGCGCGTACACACCAGCTGCAAAGGCCAACACCCAGCAGCCACAACCGTATCAACAGACAACCAACCACCTACATCCAAAACCAAGCCCCCAGATGACACCAACGTCACCAAAGAGAACTGCAGAACCTTCACCCTTGCCACATTTACCACCCAGATCACTCAATGAACCCCATACACCTGGTCAAGAGAGCCCACTAACCCATGACCAATCTACGTCACATAATGAGCCTTTTGGTGTACCCCATGCTGATGCTGACATAAGCCAGACGCCCTCCATGCTGCAAATGTTGGCACCACCGTCACCATCGACTCTAACACGCTCTTCACGACCATATCGCCAACGTCACCCTCCAAAACGCTATGAACCAGAGATAACGCTGATCACAAAGGGACACGTCATGGACCCTCACATGAAGGACATATCTTAGTAGGGATACCGCTGACCGGGGGTGAGAGGATCACTCAGCACCATTAAGGTCAGGCTCTCRGTGAAAAATAGACAAAAAAGAAGAAAATAATTACTATTCTTTATGTATATATCCTATGAACTTCAAACTTATACCAAATGTTCATGACCATCACAGGTCTTGACAGAAAAATAATTGTTTCCATAGCAACAATCACGTGACTTTTAGAAAGCATAATGTATGCAAAAATATGCCCTTTGCTAAAGCGTCTAGAAAACGTGCTCATTCTTTACATACACAAAATAAGATTATTTATAAGGGCAGCCAATGTATTAAATTAATTAGAACCAACTGGAAAACAAAGATTTTAAGTAGATTTCTAACACAAAATGCATGGCATTCATGAACTTCACTCTAAACAAACACTTTACTCTTTTTAAAAGTACAAACAGCATTCGCTTTCACGATTTCCAGTTACAAAAGTATAGTTTTACTACTGAAAATCATAAAACAGGAAAAAAAATCGCTTTATTTGAAAATTTTCCCTTTTTTCTAGCCCCTTTTTTGCTTGAATATCCGAGATTCAAAAATTGAATTCAGGCTCACATAGAACTGGTCAGCTGTCTGCTAAATAAGAAAAGTTCCCATGGTTACATGGCTTGTAAGTGAGGTAATCAAAGATGGCGGACGGAGTACATGAAATTTATTGCTTTAGATTTTGAGGCTATGACTGCCTAAACAGACGAGAATTTTGCCAAAAAAGTGGAAATTTATCCTAGAGATGCTCTTAAGATATAGTGCTATGTAGGTATTTTTCCAATATTTGCGAATCATGAACAGAAAACACTTAATTTTACGTGCAAATATGTTTTTTTTGTATTCGTAACTTGTTGTTTCCTATAATTTAAAAGTAGTTTTGAAAACCATGAGCGCACTGTTAAAGATTTTGAATTCATCAATAAATAACTCATAAAATACTTAACTCTTTGATTATTACTGATAACGCTGCATTAGTTTGAGCGGGAATTTCAAGGCGCGTAAACTAGTACTTGATGTAACGATCAAAGCTCGTTCATCTTATTTCTACTATATATTCTTCAAAATACCATAAAGCGATAATAAGTCTATAACTGGGCGTTTGCAAAGTTTCCAAGGATTAACTGGCGATGTCAGGGACATTTCTGTGTCCTAATTCTTGTGGATTTGCGAAAGTTGCTGCATTGGAGATCGCAAGGACCACTGTATTGATAAGGGAACAAGGAGAAAGTTCGACAAAATATAAAGCACACCTGAAGACTGAACAGTATAATAAGTTTAAAAGTATCTTTTCATCCGATGATTGGGAAAGATTTTCAATCGATTTCATTAAATTCCATAAGAAACTCCAAGCCTTAAGAGAGAAAGTTAATAAGTGGAACGTCAAGAAACTAGAAGAAAAATCTAAATTCCTCGATACTTTCTCCCTTAAGAAATGGATTAGTCTTCCAGAAGCTCGAAAGAGAGAACACAGCCTTGCCAACTGCAAAGGATGTGCTATCCGATTTTCTGATATACAGGCATATTTTCCGGTGAATTCACCTCAGCTTAAAGCCAAGGCAAAGAGTAATCCAGTGTTTGCAGCTAGGAGTGCTGCAGAGAAGTTATATACTAAAACCCCTCAAACTAAACCCCTGAAAAATGACATTAAAACAGCTGCTAGGGACA